CGGGTTCGCCTCAGCGAAATTTCACACTGCGTAATTTGTCTCTTTTGCTTGACGGTAAGGAAGATAACTTTATGATAACTTCTCTTTTAATATTGAACTATTTCAACGCGGCACACCAATAAATGGACAGCTCAACATATAGAGTCCTAGCCAATTGTAATCACAGAAAATCCACGTTTCCAACTTACCACTTTATATCCTCTCTGGACGAGGGTTAGATTATCTTCTTAAACAAAGAGAATTTTGGGGCGGGTGCAGTGGCTTCACTGTAATCCCCCGCCCTCTTGCCGCGCGGAGCGAAGACGGATGGGATGTAAATCACGCGAGCAGATGGGAGGACCATTCTGACGCTAAACCGGTGAAACACCGTGCTACTAAAAAATAAACATAAATAAAATTAAGCTGGCAGCTAGGTGGCGCACCCTGTAGATACCACAAGATTACTCTACTTCTGGAGTCTGAGGAAAGGAAAAAGCCTGAGCACGGCGAGGCACAGCTTGCAGGCCCTGCAATCAGCCCCTTAGCGCTCATCCAGCCTGGCCGACACGAGCAAAACACAACAGTCTAAAAAAAAAAAAAAACACAAAAAAAAAGTATTTTAAAAGCTTTGAAACAATATGTAACCTCCCTACTGTCCTCATCTTTTCCCTTTGAAATACTTACAGAAAATTTATTTTGAATTTAGTACTTAACCTTCCAAAAATTTTTTATATATTTAACTACTTACATACTGAAGTCATATGATACCATTAAGCGATTATCATTTCTTCTTTAAACTATGCATAACCCCGACCAGATTTCTTTGCATCCACTAGCACTCCCTTGATTTACTTGTTTTACCCATTATAAATCTTTATGAGATTTTCTGTTAATACATACTAACTGTTTTTTTTCATTATAAATTTTAGTCTCTAGTAATAATATTTCAGTTATTCTAGTCCTTGTCTTGACAGACTACGAATTAGTTTTCTAGTTTTCCGTTATAAATCGATCACTAGTAATAGAAGTTCGAGAACAAATGTCTACCTCACTACACATGTGGAGAAGGTTTTCTCAAGGGTATATAATTACTTGAAGACTTGTTCTAGATCAGTTATATCCACCAATCACCAGCATTACAAACATATACGAATAGTCGCTTTTAAAATCAATCCAGCAACCGGCAGATCGGCAACCGTTATTTTAATTTTTTTTTTTTATTTTTGAGATGGAGTCTCGCTCTGTCCCTCCACAGCGCTGGGAGTGGCAGTGGTGCGATCCTCGGCTCCACTGGAAGACTCCGCCAGCCCGGGTCCCCGGGTTCACGCCATTCTCCTGCCTCAGCCCCCCGAGTTGCTGAGACTTCAGGCGCCCGCCACCACGCCAGGCCAATTTTTTTGCATTTTTAGTAGAGACAGGGTTTCACCGTGTTTGCCAGGATGGTCTCAATCTCCTCACATCGTGATCCACCCGTCTCGGCCTTCCAAAGCGCTGCAATTACAGGCATGAGCCGCCGCGCCTGGCCGGAAACTTTAAAAGAAGTAGTTACTTGTGGTAATAACATTAATCTCAATCCACTAAAATCCAACTTCATTGGATATTGCCAAATCACTCTCCAAGGTGAGTGTTTATGCCAACATATATGTAACGTAAAAGTATACGAGCTTTTGAAACAAACAATAAAGGTATTTTCAACTTCATCTTCTTTGGGCAAGAGTTTTTTTGACTAGTAAAGCCATGTTAATAAAGACGGCAAGTTGTGTGGTCTTTTACATGCTTTCCATTCTCAACTAAACTGTTACATTCTTGTTTCTTCTGTCTTGGGAATTACTTAAGTGTCTTTATGTATTCCAACAAATATACCTGAAATTTTCTCAATTATTAATCTTGTATTTCATCTACAGTAAAAGCTTGGACATGATCTAGTACCTAACAGCTCTGCTATGGTCTGAATTTTTGTGTTCCCTCTTTCCTCAATTTATACATGAAAATCCTAATCCCCCCGCCCAAGGTGATGGTGTCAGAAAATGAGGCCTTTGGAAGGTGATTAGGTCATGAGAGTGGAACCCTGATGAGTGGGACTATTGCCTGTGTAAAATAGGCCGAGAGCTCATTCACCCCTTCCACTAGGTGAGGACAAACAAGAAGGCATTGTCTATGAATCAGAAAGTGGCCCTAACAAGACACAGAATCTGCCACTACCTTGATCTTGAACTTCTCTGGCTTCAGAACTGTGAGAAATACATTTCTGTGGTTTATGAGCCACCCAGTTTATTGTATTTATTTAGTAGCCCAAATGAAGTAATAATTTTTAAGTGTTTTGTGTGAAAATTATTTGTTGTTTTAAAGACTATTAGTGTAATCTTACATTACAAGCTTATCAGTAAAGTCAGAAAACTTGACATTTCTCAACACAGTATCTCTCTATATTATTTGAGTACCATATTTGTAGAACATTATATTATTTACTTGCAAATATTAAATGTTCTTCATGTGTGTCCCAAATTGGCAAGAAATATGTCTGTAAAATAAATTTAAAAAATGTTTTTATAAAGCAAAATTAAAGACAATCCACACCTTACTCTTTAATAAATTATACTCCAATACAGCTAAACATATAGATAAGTATTTTTAAATGATCAGATGGCAATTGGGAAATTTAAAATAAGTAATTATTTGTGGTAATAACATTTATCTCAATCCACTAAAACCTAAATTAAATCACAATAAAGCTTAGCAATATAATGGTGTCAAATTGGGTGGGACACATTCTTTTCTTTCATAAATGAAATTACTGCGTACTTACAGTGTAAAACACATCTACTGAACATTTCTGAAAATACTGCATCATATTTTCTTTAGTCCCATTTTATATATAAAATTTACCATATTTGGGGTTTAAAAACAAAATTTGCACACAAACCAGTAGTTTTCATAATCATAGAACACTAATGTTTATGTTTTATTATAATACAACCAAAATATACATTTAACAATTTTTAATTATTTCATCTACAAGACTACATTTCTTTTAAAATAGCAAAATTATAAATTCAAAATTGATTGCTAACCACTCACAATACTAGAATTAAATTACATGATTAACTATGGCATCTGACAGATTTTGCCCTTTTCCAAAAACCATCTATCTCAAACACTTCCCATAAATACTTTATACTACAAAATATTTAAATGAGAGGTATAAGTCATGTGTACGATCCTGTCTTTGCACTCCTAATGTATGGAATCTGGGAATCTTAGATTGTATTTGCTTTACTTCACTTGTAAGATGAATTATTTAAAATTGTGATCATTTACGATGATAAAAATACATCTCCTATAAAAACACTTCAAATATGTTTTTTTTTTCTTTTTTTTGTTTGTTTCTAAATTATCCATTCCCAATAAGGCTAACCAATTCCAACATGTTTTTGAAGAAAAATGTGACATTCTAAAGGGAGGCTATTTCAGTTTTGATTTCCACTTGCATTATATAAATAAATATGAAATATAACATTTAAGTTTAAGAAAATCAGTATTTAATGAATGCCCTTTTTATTATTTTGTGGACAGTTGAATGATATCAAGCTGTTCTTGGAAATTTAATTTTGATAATGAAAAGTAAAAAGTGACTACTGATAACTTATTGTTTAGCTGAGTCTGTAAAATTCAGTAGGAACAAAACATACTAGAATATGAAGAACCAAAATATGAACCAAAAGCAAAATTCAAGAGTAAGACCATTTTGTAGCCAGCATATTGTAAAGAGCATTATTTTAGCCAACAGAATGATGAGACTTTGTGAATTTTAATTCTTCAACTACTGTTGTGCCTTTTGCAAATTACTAAGTTTCTCTATGACTACTTTTCCATTTCTTGAGTAATTTGGTTGGTTTCCGAAAGTGTTTATTCAATAATTTGGATGTAGTGTTTTGAGCTCTTTGGAAAAAAGGACTCTACATAAATTAATTAGACTATTCATTTCTAAATAAAATCTTCAAATTTACAATAAATTGAATGTAAATGAATGCAGACATGCAGGATTCTATTTAGCAGCATAGATTGCTGAAATGAAATTCAGAAAATTCAGAAAAGAACACACAAGGCAGTCAAAGACAAAAGTATTAGAGACGAGAAAAATCCCAAAACATGAGTAAACAGGCATTTTAAGATCCCCTCCATAGAGAATCAATTTCTTAGAATATTTGAAACCATTAATTATACTTTTCTTTTTCATTATTTTAAGGCAAATTTGATGACATAGTCAGTGGTAAGGAAGTATATAGTGTGTTTGTGGATTTAACATATTCATATTCTCTCTAAATGTTCTACACAACTAAAAAGCTAAGAAAAAAACACAGTTTAGATATTCTTTATCTTTAAAAATACACATAAATATTTGTCCTCTATGTTGTTTTTTGTGTGAAATTTTATTTTACCTATAATATTTTTAATATATTTTAACTAATTATCATAAATTAAGAGTATTATATCCAAAGCAGCCAGAATATTAGAGGTGGTCACAAAATAAGTTTCCCAAATTTTGTTTGAATAACTAGGATTAGAAAGAAGTAATTAAAAAATGGTTTGGATATTCAAATTTGGATAGAAATAAAATTTATTTTCGTAAGTCAATCCTAACATTTGAGCTTCATGTAATTTTTCCGAAGTCATTCATATTTACTCTCGGACCCACAAATATTTTGAATTTTTTTTTAAATTAAAAATGTTCCCACTTAATTGCTTTGAGCTCACTATGAGTTCCTGGAACATTTTGTCCAAGCAAATCTATAATTACAAACACTGTTGTTATGCTATTCAATTAGAAGTCTGGTCATGCCACACAGTTCTTCTGAATTACTTTTTAAATGAGTGATTTGTTCTGGTTCACTTTTATTAACATTATTCCTTAGCTTTTCCTTACAGTGAAACACCTACAAATATTCATCAGTATAATATCAAAAGGGAATACTCAATCTCATATATCAGTTTGACCAGTTTGACTACTTTGAGATAGGTAACCAATGCAAATAAAATAAATATAACAGAGAGATAATGCTCTCAACATAAAGCCACAGATTTTGCATTAAGTTGCCCTCTAATCACATGGCTTTCTCACAGACTTTTCTTTCAAGATATGTAGAATGCATGAGAAACGAGCAATGTCTGTTATTTAGTTTTCTGAAAGGCTGCCTTCCATGTGAGGAAGTGACTAATTTTTCATTTCACACTCTAAAGGGCGTGAAAAGGCAAAACCGAAGAAGGGTAAGGGTTCTGTGTTACAAGAAGGAAAGGTGAGTTCTGCTTAAACAGACAGGAGACACACCATACATAGTCAGAGGGAAAGTCAAATTGAAAACATTTGAAAGTACTAACAAAATATGAAAGATGTTTATGTTAATATTGTGAGTTTGGTTCTTTTTACACGTGGCAGGCTTATTTATTGTTAAATTACTAAAACAGTAATACTACCATTACAACAGATTAACTCAGCAATGCAAAAAGGTTGCGTGAAGAAATGATGTCAAAGAGTTAATTTAACCCTTTCCGTTGTCAAAATTTTACACTTGTTCTGCTATTCAACAAATATATATCCCCACTCCCCAGCAATGTCATTTTCTTAATTCTCTTTGTGTTATATATTGTTTTCTCCTATTCACTGAAACATAATCACAAAATCCAATATACAGGAAAGAAAAAAGGCAGTAAAAAGAAATAATATACAGAGAATGATAAATATTTTTGAGAGAAAATATATATTGAAATATCATTGGTTATAAATAAAATATGTCTACCCTTCCTATGATTCTTCAGAAAAATTTATTTTTTCCTCAGACTTTTGCTAGCAGTTTGTTATAATCTAGATTTTTTTTAACAGATGAATTACAAATTGGCAGCTACTTATACTCTAGTGAAAAGAGCTCCATTACATTACTCTCACTTTATTTGTGATTGTTCTTCCTTTTCATGGGGATACGAGTTTTCCCCAAAGACAGAATTTATGGCTGTCTTTCCTTCTGTCTTCTAACAAAATCCCATCTGCATGCCTTCCCATCAGGATGCATTATACATCATTATGTTTTCCTTGTTTTATTAAAATATTTTCCCATATCTTATTAAAATATTTATTAGGCATTCTGTCCCTGTAGAGCTTAGCATATATTCTAAAAACAAAAAACTAAGCACCAACTTCTCTCTGTGAACCTGTTACTCCTGACTAGTCAATAGAAATCCTGGGGGAAACATTAATGCCCTTCAGTAAATCAATGTTGTAGTACACTAAATTTAACCCCTGTGGCCACAAAGAAATAATGCACCTCTCCAAGTTCTTATACCATTCTCCAGGAGCGAATGGCTCACTGGGAAAGTTCCTGTTGATAATGGAAGTAGTCTTAATTTGTGTCTGACCTCTAATTCTCTACCACAAGGTAGCTGGTTCTCAATAGGAATGATATATCTGTTCATAAGAATGTAGCACAACTGCATGGTAAATTCCATGCTTAATGGACATTTGAGGGAATAAAGCACCTTATATACTATCAACTTTGGTGCTTACTTAGCTCAATTATTTACATGACAATAAATTCCAAAACTCAAAACATGGAACATTTACAAACGTAAAGCCCCTATTTTTAGGATAATTCTTATACTTTGCTGGTGCAAGATTTGTTCTTGGAAAACTGGTTCAAATGATTTCTTTGCCCTTTCTTATATTCACCACATATTGTCTTAATCAGATTATTGTCTTGTGCCTTAGCAAAACTCCATGGGAAGCATTTATGAATTATTATAAGGGATATACAAAACAGAAGGCAGTGTTTTTGTAGGTAAATAATTCTTTTCTTTAAATTAAGTAGAAAACTACGTGGCCACAGCTCTAGGGAGCTCATCCAGGTCTCTGTGATGTCTTCTATTTCTTTTCTTCTTCATTTCCTGCATGTGCTTCCACTTTGGGCCCCCCTTGTTTCGCTGTCTCCGCTTCTCCCTGTGCCACATCTGTTCGCAGTACTGGTCAAGGCTGAAGTTTGGGCTGCTAAGGATTTGGATGTAGTCTTTGTATCTCAACCGTGACTCAGCCAATAGATCCTTGACCTGCCCCTCCTCATGCTCTGCCCTCTGGGTATTTTCCATCTGTTCATTCTCAATGACATTCAAAGTCAGCTTCACTATGGTGTGGATGAAAGTGTGCTCCTGTGCTTTACAGTAATACATCCCAGAATCCTTCTTCTGCAAACTTCGAATCAGTAGCCCATATTCCGTTTTGATGATTCTTTCATCAGGCTTCAACTGCAGAATTGGAAAAATATAGGTAATAAATTAAAAACAGAGAGAGCTAAGAGCAAATGAAAACAGGCTACATAGTTTTACTTAGATGAACCTAAAAGACATATTCACTGTCTCTTTGTCTCTGTCATCAAGCATAATATTGTCAGCCATAGTTTAAAAGGGTAAAAAAATTCAACTAAAGTAATTGCCCCCAAACTCTATCCTTAATTTTTCACATTTGTATCTTAGTAAGTCTAACAGCCTTTGGAATACAGTTATTTTTTTTCTCCCAATTTACAGATAGGAATGAAAAACTGGAAACCATCAAGTGACCTTCTTTACAGAGATTTCATATACAAATTACTATACCAAGATCATAAATTAGCACCTGAAATGTGGAGCAAGAATACAACATTTATAATCATTGTACAGAGAATGAGCTTCAGTACATGCTACTACCTATAATGTAGAATAGAACAATAATTCCAAGTGGAATTTACTATTTTCCAGATATCACCAAATAAGCTATGTGAGTAGCATATGAACGCTGTAAATGATGATGTCTTTAAAGTCAAACCCAAAGGTATGGGCATAGTCTTTTGGAAGTTAGAGCTGTAATTGAGTAGGACTCTAGTCAGAAGGTTAGCAACATTGAAAGCTCAATTTCCCTCTTTACTGTGGATTGAATTTTCATACTGTATGTATATGTGATACTTTCAACTGTCATTTGTGGAAATATTTGCCATGCCTTCGTATACTATGACATGGTAATGTGATTTCAAGTGTGAGAAAGCACAATGAACACAAAGAACTTCCACTGAAATGTGATGCTCTCCAGCCTTTGAAGCAATATTACTAAAAGACAATTCTAACATTAAGCTTGCCTGGCCCATGATATGGTGTGAATAATGAACCTATCTTCAGTCAAACTAGAGGCATGTTTACCCACAAAAGAGCCCTGCTTAATGTGGAGTATTGTTGAGTGGCTCAGCATTAAGTGGAATAACAAAAACAACAACAGCAGCAACAAAGAAGTCTGGAAGATTTCCCAGTTTACACATCTGCCCCTGTATTGTAGACTTTTAGATGATGGAAATCAAGGAGGCATAAAGATGGTTAAATTAAATTTATTCACAGTGGGTGGATTGTACTCTGCATCTTTATGTGAAAAATATGTAGGAAAAAATCTCCCCAATTCTAGAAATATGAGAAAAGGAAAAGAAACATCTCTGGCTACCAGCCCAGTTAACTAACAAGTATATGGCAAGCCACCCTCTGTGCCAGAGAAGTGCAGCTGGCGGGGAACCATTTGAGGCCAAAGGCAGGTCACAGCTCAGATCCCTGGTTAATGAGGCTGAATGGTCTCCAGGCCTGCCTTCGCTCTGCACTGAATCCACACCATCAGAGCTTTGTGTGTTTGTTTCTCTTATGTTGCCCATTTGGTAAGCTGGATGTGGTATTCTTTTTCTTATGGATTTATTCTAAAAGCCCAGACATTTAGAAATGCTATTGTAATACAAACTAACTTGAATTAATTTACATTCTCAGAAACCATAGGAGTCTCATGCCTAAAATAAATGTGATTTGAATTAGGAGAGTTCTAAATGGCCAATCTTAAACAGAAATGACAATGTCAAATTTAATACACTATGTATAATTATTTTTTTCCCCTTAGATAATTTCACTGTATTTTTTTTTGTAATTTAATACATTTTAGGTCTCAAAATACTAGCTTCATAGCCGAACCTTCTGGTCTCTACTCTGTTTCCTATGATGACTCATTTATCTTCCCCCATTGGTCTCCCATCTATCAAGTTGTGGTGCAGCATATGGTGTATTTGGGGGATTAAAAGCAAAGCTCTTTGAAGGTTAAAATGTGAAGTATTATTAGCAACATTACATACTACTGCCATGCTGCTTGAGAGGTAATATTTTGAAGCCTTTATTACTGTAATTCTTTTAATAGAAAATGGCCTGAGGTTATTAGCATGACAATCAAAGTGGATATCTCCAGTTCTAGTTCATCTCTAGATTTCCTTTACATAACTGGTACTCTTGCTGATGTTTAAATTACATTTAATGTGGCTTTTAGAGATTGTCACAGCTCTGACCAGGACTTTTGATTGTTCTCTTTAATCTTCTGACAGGAAGAAATTATGACTTGATCTCACACATATTGTGCAACACTTCATCATTGCTTTTGCTATTATCTTTTGTATCCTGTTTATGTTGTTGTACTTTGAGGTCTGGTCCCCTTCCATCTTTTTCCCTCTAATTCTGTCCCCACAGGACTCAGGATTCCATAAACACCTGGCATTCCATTATGCGGTCATGATCTTTCAACTTTCTTTTCTTCTGTGGAGTGCTGGATTTGTTCTCTGGTTTTTGACCTACAGATATCATACTTGATTTAATAAATTTTCAGCTTTCTACATCTAACTAATGTCAATTAGATCATTTAACAATTTTTTTCTTGCTAAAATTTCAATAATATGTTTTTAGTAAACTGGCAGCTCTAATAAAAGACATTTTGAATAGATATATTTACAGAGAATGTTTACAATCTAGAGATAAAAATCTGTGACCCAGAAACTAAGTAGTTGATTAACATTTGCCTTTACATTCTCTTTCTCTGTAATGCTTTCATTCTTTGCTGAAATAGGATGCATTATGCAGACTGTATCTCAACAGTGAAATGTCAGCACAGTCAATTTAGAAAATTCAGCTCCTCAACAAAGAGATAATGTAATCTCTGGTCATTGATTTAAACTCTTGGAATTTTCTCCACTCTAGAAGTGATAAGTAAAAACTGCTCAACTTTACGAATTAAAACCACGTTTGAGCTGGGGTCGACTATCCATTTGCCTAATGTGAACAAGGATAATATATCTGGCATTATTAAATGTAGATCTCCAGTGAAGGGCAATTCATTTAACATGAGAAGAGTAACATGGAAGGGACAAAGGACATTTAAGTATTAAGCAGCAGGTAAAGGTCAGGGACTTTATCTCTTATAATAGCAGTCTAATGGTAGTTCTTTTACAGATAATTCACCTGTCAGTTCTTCCATAGTAAAAGCACTGCACATGCCTTGGAAGAGGTCAGGGCTTCAAAAATATCCCCATTCTCTAACAGAAAATATTACTAGTGGGAAATTAGGATTAAAAAATAAAGAAAGCTGCTTGTGTGAGAGAATAAATGTCTGCAAAACTGTGGCAAAAATTTTTCTGTGTTTAAAAAATACACTGAAAACTTTTCTTATTTAATTTGGAAGAAAGGAAAAGGAACTGGAATAGAATCATTTGTATACATGTTTTTAAATTTATCAGAGTTTACTTACATGACACTGTATATGATCCATCTATTAATATACCACGAAACCAATAATTCAGATTTTTAAGCAAACATTAGAAAAAGGAAAACTTGCTAAACCGATGCTAGAGCAATGAGCTCATTATTAAAAAGAAAAATCAAATATATACATACATAAATAACTACTAGATTAATTTACAATCTTTGGGTACATGTAAATATAATACGTAAAATATAAATGTAAAAACTCATAAAATAACTAGAAAAAATATATAATTGCTGTCTGATTGGGGAAGGAGTCTTTTTTTTTTTTTTTTTTTGAGACGCAGTCTCGCTCTGTTGCCCGGGCTGGAGTGCAGTGGCCGGATCTCAGCTCACTGCAAGCTCCGCCTCCCGGGTTTTACGCCATTCTCCTGCCTCAGCCGCCAGAGTAGCTGGGACTACAGGCGCCCGCCGCCTCGCCCGGCTAGTTTTTTGTATTTTTTAGTAGAGACGGGGTTTCACCGTGTTAGCCAGGATGGTCTCGATCTCCTGACCTCGTGATCCGCCCGTCTCGGCCTCCCAAAGCACTGGGATTACAGGCTTGAGCCACCGCGCCCGGCCAGGGGGAAGGAGTCTTTAAGCATAACAGGTGAAATATCACAGAGCCATACATCAACAGATTTGCCTGTATAAAACGAAATGTGTAGGAAAGTCAGAAATTGTCAGAAACAAAAGAAATGTAAAATAAAATAAATGTATAAATGTATAACATTAAATTATTAATACATGTAATATACAAAGGACTTATTACAATTATTATTAAACAAATATGCCCATATAAAGTAAGCAATGACAGGCAAGACAATTCGCCAAATACAACTGAAGCCAAGAACCAAGACACGTAAGAAGGTCAGTTCGCATCCACTAATATGCAAAGAAGTAGCTATTAAGGCAATACAGTTTTCATATTAAACCGGTAAAGATTTTCTTAAATTGTGAACCATAATTTTGCCTCAGGGATTTATAACAGACACGAATACAGTGATTTTTATGTGAAATTAGCAATATGGTGTTGTTTATCAAAATCCACAAAGATAACAAATGTCTTTAACTTATTTTACTTCTAAGATTTTTTCCTAAGAAAATAGTTAGAAAAGCAGAGAAAGACTCAGATATAACAAAGTTCATTATTATTATTTCAAGCAGGAACATGATCTAGTGAGAGAACACCTGGAATACCTATGGATAACTACGGCATCAGGGTGGGATGTGTGGGAGACAGAAAAAGCATGGTATTGACATTAAATGATAATGGAAAATGCTCACAGTGCAATGGTGAGTGGGAAAAAAAGCTGGAATAGACATCAAAATATTATTTATGCTTATATACACTTAGTGGCCTCATACTTATTTTATGTGTTACAATAATTTTAAAATCATTTATATTGCTTTTAGAATAAAAATAAAATAAGATCGACAAGTGGAATAATGCAAATATTTGAAGATGTTTTTAAAATATTATTAACATAAACAGAGAAAATATAGTACGGCCTCGTTTACTTATTCAGATCCCAAAAGTTCAACAGAAGCTTGGGGACTGCCAATTGACTCGCTAGTTACAGCATAAACATCATCAATTTTAAGAACAGTTTTATAAGAAAGTCAGCAGATAACTGACTCATGACCTCCCGTACAGCACCCAACTGTGAAACAGCTCAGTAAGGAAATGTTCTCCTCCTGGCAGAGAATAACCTGGTGACAGCCTCTGTGCCACAGGAGATCACGGTCCCTCCTGCAGGCTGTTTTTGAGTGGAGGAAAGATTCCAAACTGTGACCTTATGGGTAAGAAGCAGAAGGCATCCTGCTGGGAAAAATGCTTCAAGTATAATCTGGATATTGCCCTTTTCCTCAGCTCAGGAAGCAGTATTGCATATCCTGGATAATGTGAAACTCTCTATTTACAAAGATAAATGAAAATACCAGTTGAAATATTACAGTGAAGATACTTTTAAGTAAAATTCAATAAATATTTCTGCTCCATTGAAATTCGTGGAGCATGGTACCATTATGAATATATAATATACTTTTAAAAGGTAAATTAAAGTAATGCACGGAATTTTCAAGAAAATGCAAGATGTGAATGCAAACAACCACAGGCAAATGTAAGTATCTAGAGCTGAGAGATGAACTCAAGCAGAGGACCACATAATTTTAAAAATCAGATTAAATTTCCCATGAAGAAAAATCCATTTATTAAAGAATTATATTTAACTGAAAAGCAATTATCAAACTTTATTTGCTATGAAATTCAAAATATTGGTTTGTGACACAAGATTAAAACATTGCAACATAATAAAAAAATCTGCAAGTTAAAAAATTTCAGTATCGTTCTTTCAACATTTCTAGTAAATGCCTTGTATTTTGAAATTAAATAATCATTTCTGTATCAAATAATATTTCAATATAAAGGTAAAAAATTGAACCCTTAAAGTAAATATGCAGTGTAAATATGAATCTGCCATAGTCTTAGGACTTATAGAAGTCAGGAATGATGATGTATCTAGTTTTATTGGTGAAATTTGACTTAACAAAACATGAAGTTATTCTTTTATTTATATATTAAGTATGTAAAGAGTTAACACTTAGAAAAAGTTATTCTTGTAGCTGTTAGATGAAGAGAATGATGTTAAACTCTTCATGTAACAGTATAACTATACCTTTAAATCAATTTCTTATGATAAAATTTGATTTTTTTTTACCTGAAGTTTTCTTAACCTCAGCATCTTTCACATTTGGAGTGACATAGTTTTTTATTGTGAGGAACTGTGCATTGTAGAATTTTTGGTATCATCTCTGACCTCTACCCAGTACACACCAGGGGCACCCACTTGGCCACCCACCCACCCAGCTGTGATGTTCAAAAATGTCTCCAGACATCGCCCAATGTTGGTACTCTGGAAACAAAATTACCAGAGGTTGAGATCCACTGTTCTGTACTAATGTTTGACTTAATTACATGTACTATTTTAAATGTTTATAGACTTGTCAATAAGGCTGATATTTTAGGGAAATTTGATCTACTTATATAAGAGAGAAACTAAGTGCTAGAGAAGTTACAATCTGCTCATGAATTCTCAGGAGTCAAGCCAAAGTTAGAACTAGTATTTTCTAAACACATGATTAGTACTCTTTCCTGATGCACATGTAAAATACCCTCATTAATAGGGTATCTGTAATTTTACATGCATATTTTATGGCTGTGAGAGCCTCTTTATTGAAATTCTACATTCTCATATGCATTTTTTCACTTAATATTATAGTAACTTTTGAATTTATTTTGTTCACTTAGAAAATTGGGGGCTCAGGAACATTACCAAAGGTTTAAGGACCATGTTTCAACTCAAGATATGTAATTCTGAATCCTGTGTTTTTTCCATTATTCATTACAGTGTCCTTAGTTTAACATGTCTGGATACTTATCTAATTTGCTCATATAATTTGATAAACATAGATATTTCTGTTTTGTTTGTTTGTTTGTTTTTAGATGGAGTCTTGCCCTGTTGCTCAGGCTGGAGTACAGTGGCACGATCTCGGCTCACTGCAAGCTCCACCTCGTGGGTTCATGCCATTCTCCTACCTCAGCCTCCCCAGTAGTTGGGACTACAGACGCCCACCACCACGCCTGGCTAATTTTTTTGTATTCTAAGTAGAGACAGGGTTTCACCGAATTAGCCAGGATGGTCTCGATCTCCTAATCTCATGATCCGCCCACCTCAGCCTCCAAAAGTTCTGGGATTATAGGCATGAGCCACCGCACCCGACCAGATATTTCTGTTTTAATACAACCTCAACATGCTTCATTTCATGATCTAAATTAAACACAATGCGAACTAAAATGTAGTCACTGTGCTACTGTGGGAAGAAAAATATGGTGTTCTTGTTATTAGGGATTTGTTCCTAAATATAGGCAATCTATGAAATATGCAATTTGGAAAAAAATGTAAAAGTCTTTAAAAAATTCCGTCTACTTTTAAATATATTTTATGAAAACATTTGTGTGAAGTTGGTCTATTCTTATCTAAAAGCTATTGTTACTTTTGGTGTTAGTAAGCAAAACCTTTTTTTTTTTTTAATCAAATAATGATAAAAGTAGCATACAGCACTAAAAGTTGAACATCTCTCAATCGTACACTATTTCCCTCAAAGTGAGTATTCTTTGATGACAACAGCTTACCTCCTCTCGATGCTCATCCCCTGACCTCTGGATATACCATTTAATAGTTGCTTGTTGGGATTTAGGTATACATTCCAGAAAGGTTGAGTTAAATTCAATGCCAAAAATCACCTTTTCATCAGCAGTTTCATGACTAATGCCTGGAAAGCAAACATGGAATAAGAGATTAACCTTGACCTGATTTTAAAAGCAATGGGAAAACAGACTGATTCAGAACAGATGCCATAGGGAAAGAATCATATACATTATTAAAGAGAAAGGAAATTCTTGTTATAATATTGTTACCTGAGACAAATAGTACACAATAGATGGGTTTTTAAAATTTTATCCCTGTATTGTAATTTTTATTCTTTCATCAATATATTAGCTATTTGCACTTGACTTTAAAAAATAATGTTCATAATATCTAACTCTATATATTGAGATTTTTTTCTTTGAGCTGAATAAATCTTTTGCATCTTTTAGTGCTTTAATACTTTTTTGTTAATATAAAATATAAACAATTTTGTAGATAGATCTGGAGCAGTTTGCTTTAATTTAAAGGCAATTTCTATCATGAATTGGTCCACAGAGCTGATCAGATAACATAAAATTTTGATATCAGAAAAGTAAGTTATAGTGATCTATGCTTGACAAAATTCTATGATGATGATCATGAGCCAGATGCACTAATACTCAATATCTGGGCCTTATCTGTATTAATCTATCATTTTTATGCTTTTTTATACAGAGGGATATTTTAGCCCAATATACATTTTCTATGAGATAGTTACTGGGATGCTTAAAAGAACAGTGTCTCAGACACCTTATTCTCGTAAATCAATGCACCATCTGAAATACATTCCATCTAGAGTAGCCAAAGGCTGTGTCCCTTGTGTGATCTAAGAGCTCTAGCTCAAATTTGATCAAACAAAAAATGACAGCTGCTCAGCTTAGCCCAAATATGCACTATCTCATCATATATTCAGATATCTCAATTTTACAGATTGGCTTACTTAGCACTATAGAACATCACCTAGAGTAAGGTTTAAAAGACCAAGTGAATCCTAAACCTAAGCATACAAATGATCAGCAATGGCATAAATGCACATATGTTAGTTAGGCTTCTTTTCAAGAAACTTATTTTGAACTTACTTGTGTTTTACCAGCAAGGATTAAGTCAAGCATGCTGACACCATTATGAATTAACCTCATCTAACCTTCAAAATGTGTGGATTCCATTTAAAACCTGTAGTCAATCAACTATCTCCACCAATTCAACAGATTATAGCTGTGATTTTCACAGTTAATAAATTCCTAATGCACAAAAAGATCACTGGTGCCAGTTATGGAAAAGAAAGATATGCACCATCTTATAATAACGGATACAATTTTCCTGAGAAAAGGATTTTGTCAACAAAGTAGGGGAGGATGCAGGTTAATTTTTGGGATATGGGGCAAGGGCTCAGGAGAAATGCCATTAGACTGACTTGACCAAAGAATTGGTCAATTTAGTAAAAGATAAATTGGTGAAATCAACTGGAAAAGTGATAGCAAGCTCATTATCTGAACTCTTTTTTCAAATTAATAAAAATAATGTCTGACATCTCTACATCAGTTTCACTGAAAATGAATTTATTGTTACTTCCAACAACGTTTGTTTCATTTCTGAATTCTAAGTTTTCCACTTTACAAAAAACTAGCCGGGCGAGGCGGCAGGCGCCTGTAGTCCCAGATACTTGGGAGGCTGAGGCAGGAGAATGGAGTAAACCCGGGAGGCGGAGCTTGCAGTGAGCTGAGATCCAGCCACTGCACTCCAGCCCGGGCGACAGAGCCAGACTCTGTCTCAAAAAAAAAAAAAAAAAAAAAGTTTTTAAACGTATATAGATGTATGCATATTATATACACATACACACACACACACACACACACAATCATACACAAAGGTTCTGCATCCTTAATTCAAAAATCTGAAATCCAAAATGCTCCAAAATCCAAAACATTTTCAGCACAGACGTGAACCACAAGTGGAAAATTCTACTTGATGGGTTGCAGTCAAAAGGCAGGGACACAACATACAGTTTATGTGTGAATAAGATGATGATTGCTTATTGGTAACATATAAATTCAGAGTCAGGAATGGTGGTGATGCCATACAACCACAGATTGTCCGCATTTGTGGCTGAGAAAATAACACCTTTACTTTCTTATGGTACAATGCACACACACTTTGTTTCATGCACAAGATTATTTAAAATACTATACAAAATTACCTGAAGGCTATGTGTATCAGGTGTATATGAAATATAAATAAATTTTGTGTGCAGATTTGGATCCCATTCCAAGATATTTCATTATGTATATGCAAATATTCCAAAATCTGATAAAATATGGAATCCAAAAACCTCTGATCCTAGGCATTTCAGATAAGGAATATTCAACTTGTTTTATTCTATCATGACTTAAATTTTAAATGTGTAAAAGTTATATACAATAGTGTTTGAAATAGTTAAAATAGCTTCTTATGACATGTAAGATAATAGTGGAGTATTTTTTGTCCTCCAGATTGCAGTCAAAAAAAACTTTTTATAGTAAAATGCCTAGAATACCTCTTTATGATAAATATATAGCTTATCATTGAAGTGCAAGATTGATCTGTTTAATGTTGTTGAACTATTTTTCTGTATGTATTGCTGGTTTTATGTCATCGATAACCATGCAGTTTTGCAGCTTTTAACAATAAAAGCAATAAAGAAAGAAAATAAAGAAGAAAAGAAAAATCTTTGCCCATTATTCAAGACTTGACTTCCTAATAAAATCCAGCACACATTTATGATGGATTAGAGACAAGTCAATTAATTTGTAAATATCTTTACAGTCTCTACTCTAACTCCCACAATTGATTCTCCGCCTCTAGCATCTCATATTCCAATCAATGTTTTATACAGGTGTCAATTACTTTTATTAAAAAAAAAAAAAAAACTTTTCTGAGCAATATGAAATAGCTCCTAGCACCTATAAAGTAAACATAAAATTAATAGAATCATGTAGACACTTTCACAAACTTTACCCAATCTATGTGAGGTCTTTCTGATTTTAATTGTTTCTTCATTACTTTATAAAATCTAACTTTCTCCTGAAGGCATGGCTCAAATGCTATCCATCTGAATATCCCTCTATTTACTTGTCTATTACACAACTGCTATTGTGTGCCTAACACACTAACATCATTTTAAGTGCTAGAATAATATGACAGGATGAATATGAAATTCACTGCCCTCTAGAAACTTACATTCTAGTGACATAGACAAAGTAATCAAGTAAATGAATAAAGAAGTAATATCTGCTACAAAACAATAAAGGAGATTAGAAAATACCACGGGCAAAAAAAAAAAAAAGTACTTTAAATGGGATGATCAGGAAAGGTCTCTCTGAATAATTAACATGTAACCATAGGATTAATTGATGTAAAAAGATGGAGCTAAATAAACATCTGAAAAACGAGTTCCTCAGGTACAGAGGACAATGAATGCAAACATACATAAGGCAGCAACTCATTGGTGCTTTTGAAAAACAGAAAGCTACTTAGTGAATCTAGCAACAGTGATGTGAAGGAGGGTCAGAGAATATACTAGAGATCAGGTCAAGCATAATCTTACATGCCATAGGAAAGCTTTCCATTTTTTTACCAATTGTTCTAAGAAGCTATTGAAAAATGTTGAGTAAGGGAGTGACATGCTCTGACTGAAGTTTTTAAAAAGATGACTCTGGCTAGTAAGTGGGGTATACAGCTAAGTGGGGTACAGATAGAAGTGGCACAAGTGTGGAGGCAGAAAGACCAGTGAAGCAGCTACTGAAGAACTACTATGGCCTCAGTTAGGCTGGCATTTGTGGGTGTGATGAGAAGTAGGAAAGCTTGACCATGGGCCAGAAGGACTAATTGAGAGGTTGGTGATAGGATGGGAAGGAAAGAAAATATTATAAAAGTGACTCCTAGCTGCTTTTTGACATAAGTAGCTGGGTGAATGGTGTGCAATTTGTTAATAAAGGAAAGTCTGCAGAACAAATAGATCTTGAAGAAGATAACAAGAATTCTTTCTCAGAATAAGTTTCAGATGCTAATTAGGCCTTCAAGTGGAGCTCTTTAGTAGGCATACAAGCGTCTGTGTCTGGCATGTAAGGGTGAGTTCAGAATTGGACTATGAATTTGGGAGGAAAATAGCCTCTGACAGTGTTGAAATAGACAGTATTAGAGAGTGAGTAGACAGAGAATGGGAAAGTGGCTCGGGACACTCCAATATTTAAAAGGTGGGACAAAAAGGAAAGTTAAGGACACTCAGAAGGCACAGTTTGCAAGGTAAGAGGTAAACCAGAAGGATATGGTACAAGGGCACATAGATATGCTGGAACATCATTTCTCTGAAAACACAACAAAACAACAAAAAAACTAATTTGTAGTGCTTGCTGATTTTGCTGGTGTAAATACTCCCAACATGTCTGACTGATTCAAGCTTTCAGTGGTTTAAAATCAGCTCACAAAATTTCAAAATTTTAAGCAACCAACTTATATGAGGCCACATGAACTGGCTCCAGCACACAAATGCATGGAAGTCAAAAGAAAGTGTTTCAAAAAGGAGGGAGTTACAGCTTAAGTAAAAATGAGAACTGAAAATTGGTCATTGGATTTGGCAAGGAGGAAATTGCCGGTGACCTTCACAAGAATGGATTGGATAGAGTGATGATCATGATGATTAGAAACGACTGCGTGCAGTGGGTTATAGCATGAATAGGATATGGTAAAGTGAAGACAAAAATTGTGAGTGCCTTAGGCAGCAACTATGTTTTGTGTCAGTTTCTTCATAACATTTATCATTGACATAGCATTTATTTTACTTGTTTTGGTATTTATTGTCTGCTCTCTCCCCTAACACACTCTTGAATATAAGTATTGTGAATGCACAGATTCCGTTGTTGTTTTCTTTGTTGTTCATTGCTATATCCTCAATACCTATAATCATCCCTGATACATTTCATATGCATGTGTAGAGAATTGCATATGTATCGCACAGTAATGATTGGTAACTAAACCAATGGACATCACAATGAATCACCTACACATTAGAACAAGAACCCAAACATACTAATCTGGATGAAGGCTTATTTTTCAGAAGAATTAAGTTATAAGTTAAAAATAACTGTTTTGCTTTTAAATCAAGAAAACACTACCAGACCACCAGTTATAGATTATGAAATCTGGGTTACTTACATCACTGGTGGGGTGGTCAGTAACATTGTGATGAATGTGCACTTCCTCTACCAGTTTGTGTGTGTGTGTGTGTGTGTGTGTGTTTGGTGTGTATGTGCACATATTTTCTATCTGAAGGTAGAGTTTGAGAGTGGAGAGTAACTGAAGCTCTGGAATACATACTTTTATCGATTTTTTTTTTCTCTGTTTTCAGAATCACTCACCAGGCCTCCTCTCTACTCCCCGACACTGGCCTTCTCCTTCAGGCTTTCAAGACCTTCTATTCTATGATTCATTTTTCTAAACAATACAGCCTCTCTTTCACTAAACTCCCCTATCACTAATTGTGCCTTATGACATTTCCCCAAAGATTCATAAGCTCTCTAAGGAGTTTCTTAGTCACATAGTATACCCAGGACAATTACATGCATATGAAAGTCGCTTAATAAATATTTATTGATTAAGTGAATATATGATTTGATAGGTGAATATAAATAAAGTATAGGCTACCTAAAAACTTCTTTCAAATAAGACCTACACTTTTACCAGACTTCTGGGAGGTCTATTTGAGTTTACTCTAAATGTCCAAATGTTTTCTGTTATATCCTGTTTTATCTCTAATAGCAGTTTTCAAACTTTATAAGGATGGATATGGTAGTAAAAAGAAACAAAGGCTACAGTTTAGGAATTTTAAAAGACATATGAAACAAATAATGATATAACAAAGGATTATTCTATTAGGCACGTAGACAGGGGTTGATTTATACAATTTCCTGTTGCTCTTCCAGGACACGTGCATTACACAAAATGGAGATATTCCCAGATAATAGATGGTTTAAGTCATATAATAAAAGTACACAAAAGAATGGGCTTAGCATTTTAAATCACAGAAAAAGCATATCGAAGCTGTACTTACTGTCTTCGATGTCCCAGCACTGGGTGATCGGGTCACCATATTTTACGTCTTGGCGTCTAGCTCTCCTACGGAAAGGGGATTACACTGATTAGAACCTCAAGCATGATTACCATCATATAGAAAGGCTACATCTAACACTAACAACAGTAGCAGATGCAGTTCTATGCTTGTCTTACAGCTCAACTTAAATGCAAGTCAATATTCCAATCAATCTAACTTTGATTTTAAAAACTACTGGTAGTGAGGTCCTAATAGAAGCAATCCTGTTCAGACAATGAGATGACATGAATTTTATTTAACTGTGCTTCTTTTTCTCTGATTTTTCACAAAGTATTCAACAAAAAAGGTTAAATAAAAATATAATCCTGGTTTTATATAATTAAAATGAGGATAGCTATTCTTTTTTTTTTTTGTTTGTTTGTTTTTGAGACGGAGTTTCACTTTTGTTGCCCAGGCTGGAGTGCAATGGCGCGATCTCAGCTCACCGTAACCTCCGCCTCCCAGGTTCAAGCGATTCTCCTGCCTCAGTCTCCCGAGTAGCTGGGATTACAGGCATGTGTCACCACGCCCTGCTAATTTTGTGTTTTTAGTAGAGAAGGGTTTCTCCATGTTGGTCAGGCTAGTCTTGAACTCCCGACCTCAGGTGATCTGCCCACCTTGGCCTCCCAAAGTGCTGGGATTACAGGCATGAGCCACTGCGCCCGGCCAGTTACTCTCTTTAGGAACTCTCTTTTTAGTCAGTCATTGAGAAATAATAATATATACAAGAGTTCAGTCAGTGGATAGGAACATATACACAAATACAAAACACCTTGTCATGGAAAGATTCATTATTGCATAGATTTAATTAAGCAACAAACTAAATACTGTAACTTGAAATAGAATTATAAGTTCAATATGGTATAAAAGACTACCTGTTATTTCTATCTGCTGATGAGTAGCTCAAATTGTTTTTCTGGTAGTTATGATAATAATAATATTAAACAATGGCTTTTGTATTACATCACACATTTTCCTTAAAATAAAGTAGTAACTATTTTATAAAAAAGAAAAAGAAAAACAAACAAACAAAAAAACCCTGCTACATCTAAGCAAGTTCTTACACCCTTACAGCATATTTTCATTTGCTTGGGCTATTTTATTTTGTCACTTCAGAGATCAGAAAAGCACCAATAAACTTTCTGTGATATCTAGAGTGTTCCTTGAGGGTAATGCTGAACAGATGACAACAGATGACAAGATTCATCCATTATACACATCTTTTGGCTCACATGACATTATGTTAGGTAAGGGAAAACATCACAGTGGCATGTCTTAAAGATCAGAGATACAGTCTTGGGAAATACAAGAAGAAAACATTATGATGGTGTAAGGTACATAAGGTCAAGAATGTTTTTAAATCTTGGCTTCTTAAGGAACAGGGTCAATTCATCACACTGAGGTTTATTACCAACTAATGAGCATTCTTGTTTTTCAGCTTTCCAGGAAAGCATTCCCCAAAGACTATAATGAGTATGTTCTTGGCCAAAAACTATAACAAAATGTGGGTGACTTTTAACTTGAAATTTCTAATAATCATATGTACCCATTTCAATTTAATTCATGGATTTCAGGGAATATAAAATGTTTTCTAATTTTAAGTAATATTTGCTATTGCACTATACATTCAATCCGTAATTTCTTAGAAATCAGAATTTGAGAAATCAATAAAATTCCAAAAAGAAAAAAGTGTACATGTGGTAATGACACTAGCATGTGCCTGTTAGTTTGAAAACAGACCTAAAAATACATTTGCTTACATTTCACCTACAGGAAAATATACTTTGAATACTTTAGAAAATAATGTTACTATAATTGACATTAAACTAATTAACATAATATATTTAGCTAGCGGCAAGCATATCAATGGACATTCAGATTGTTTGCAGTTATTTTGCTATAAAAATAATGCTGAAATAAACATTCTTGAACATAGAACTTTGTGGTACTTTTGCACATGTGTATATAGAACAAATTCCTAGTTTGGAATTGTTGGCTCAAAATAGCACTATTTCTAAGAACACATAAAGCAATGAACTACAAACAGTAAGGAAAATGTTCGTTGTTTAATTATATGAGTGGCAGAAATTGACCAAGTTATAATTATTAAAGTAAAACTAAAATTATACCAAGTCACTGGGCTACACTGTGGGTTTTATACAATCTGTGCTTGTACCATCATATATATTTATATATTATTTGCAAAACAGTAGGCATCAGTATATGCATATTTAGAAATAAGAAATAGGGAAGGAACAATTATAAAAAAGCCAAAATAGTGAATAAACAATTTATTAAAATTGTTCGAAGTTCCATATTTCAGAATTTCAGAGCGTCTGTTTTATCCTCCTTCAAAATTAAATTTTATGTAAAAATATAAAACAACATTTTGATTTCAATATTCCTTCCATAGGCCATGTTTGGTATATATTTTCTCTTTAACTTGAACTATAAGACAAGGCATTAATGTGAGATATTCATCTTGTAGAAAGGAAGGCTTTATACTAACTCAATGTGCCTCTTACCTTTTAGAAGTAGGAGCATATCGAGAGCATGCATTTCCATCCCAGGCACAGTAGGGGTCTCTGGCAAGACAACAGTCCGCACAAGCTTTCCCATAAGTGTCGCATCTGTGCAAGGAGAGCTGAACTAATCCATCTCGGGAACCAATGTACAATTGTTGCTGCAAATCGGGTAAAACAAATGAATTAGAAGCATCTTTCAGACTAGTCTTAAGAATTTTCTTTTCTTGAATATCACATAATACATATAAATCTGTTTCTCTGGGTGTCCTGCCCATTGTAAACACTTGTACAGAAACATAATGAGGAGTAAAATAAGTCAATCATTTCTATTCTGGTTGGATGGTAGTTTGAAGATTTTGATGCTGAAATAGACAGCATTCTACAAGCTTGGCAGTAATTTCAGAAGGTCAAAAACCAGCTGCTAGACAGGAATTAAGATGTCAAATTCTTTCTCAATACTAGAAAATGTACTTTGAGAGATTATGTCCAGCACAGATGCTATAGGCAAAGCTCACGGTCTTCCCAAGACTTCCCATGACTCCTTATATAAGAGACGACTGAAAATAAATTTATAAAGCATTCCCCTGGTTTCAATTAACCATTTCATTTGTTTCATTTGTTATTGAAGTACTGATCCTTGAAAGAACATGAGTTATTAGTGGGAGAGAGAGTATTTGTTATCATTCTGAAAGAAAGTATTAAACAGGCTTGAGGGATGCCATATCAAAAATGCAAGGCTGCGTGATACTGAAGAACCCAGCAAATAAGATCACATTTTCAATATGAGTCCTGAAAGTAATGAATTACTTCCCTTATACATTCTTTTGAGTATCTGTGGTAGTAGTGGTGGAGGAGGAGGGGTGATAAAAGTGAATAAGCCACAATCTGTGCCAAATAACTCATGGTCCACTCTAGTGGACCATTTCAAGAGTTAAAGGAGGGAAATCCATGTTAGAAATAGGTATCGGCATAATAACATAGTACTCAACTTACAGAAATAGGTCTTACACCTCTAGCATCCATTAAACTGTCAATTAAGACTTCCTAGTTGCTAAATGCAATGAACACTGTTTAGTATTTGTTTTATTGAAATTCTCTATACTGTTTGACACTAATGACTATATATTCCTTGAAACTTTCTCCACTTTCTATTCTCCCTCTTTATTTCAGATTCAGACATTTGTCTCCTTTGTGATTTCTTTTTTTTTTGCATTAAATGTTGGGTTTCCCTCTTTTCGCTTCTTATTTATTTACCTTTTATATTGTACAAAAGACTTAGACATATCTTGAAAACAGTATAAATATGAACATAATAACCCCCCTAAATCTATTCCTCCTGCCCTACCTTGGAGAGCAGCACCCTCATCCACCAAGTCATCTAAGACAGAAATCTGGGAGTTGTCTTTGAATCTTCTTTCTCTCACATTCAATCTGTCATCACTTCATTTCCATTCTCTCATACAGAATTTTCTAATCTATTTTGTCTCCTCCCTCTCTACCGCCACTGACTTTGTTTCAGTCCTTATCACTTCTTTCCTAGATTACTTGTAAGTGTCCTATTTCTGCTGGCTTTGATTTTGTTTTCCAACAACCCCCACCTCTACCCCAGTACCCAATCTATCTTCCACACTGCCGCACCAGACCGATTTTTCTAAAAAGAAAATCTTATTATAATACCTTTCTGCTTAATCATTAATGTATTTTTATTTGTTTGTTTTCCTTTTCAATGGCTTTTTTCTTTTTTTTTCTCTCTCTCTCTTTTTTTGAGCCTGGATCTCACTATGTTGCCCAGACTGGACTTGAGCTCCGGGGCTCAAGGTATCCTCCCACTCTAGGTTCCTGAGTAGCTGGACGACAGGTGAGCATTACCGAAACACCCAGGGGTTTTCATTGTTTTTAAGATATGCTACTAAACTTCTTAGAAGGATATATAAAGATGTGTCTAATCTTGTTCTGTCTTACTTCTCCAGATTCATTTCTAGCCTTCCTCCCCTTTGAACACACATATGATCCATAACCTAATTGTACACACACTTATTACAGTAAGCTATGGTCTCTCACTCTTCACACTTTTGCAAAGATTCTGCCCTTCTGGTTGGCACGTGCTCTTCCATTCCATTCTCCTTTTAATATATCTGGTTAACTAGGACATCCTTCATAATTCAAGTTGTATGTCTCATCTTTCAGTTATCTTTCCCTGTTCCTTCTGGCTCCCTTTAGGTCACTTTCTTGTCTCTGTCTCTCTAGTATATACCCTATTATTACTGTGCAGTGTTAGCGTCTTCCTTTGACTCTCAGCTCTACTGTGAGCTTCTGGAGGTTAATGGCGAGCTGTGTTATTCATTCATTTATGTACCCTCCAAGCACCTTAGGCCTTCAATAAATAAATGATAAGTGAATAAACAAATAAATGACAAAGACCTGAAGAAGAAAACTATGTAGATCATTTTCTAAAAAAATCACTCTGCCATAGGAACTGTAATAGATTAAGACAATTTTAGCAACACCTTGATGTTGAACATGTCATATGGCTTTCTTAAATATTGGGGGTGCAAATAGAAATAATAGTGCAGTCTGAATCTCTTGAATCAATTACAATTTGGCATATCATCAGAGATTCATGAAATCATGTTAAAGATTATTACTATTATCATAATTAGTTACCATTTACTTTACACTTGTGTGTCTGCTCTCTGTTTAGAACGTTACATGAAGCATCCTCTTTAAACTCCCAACAAACTCTGGAGGTGGATATTGTTTTTCTAACTTCACTGTTGAGGAAATTGATTGTGAGAGTTTGATATTATGTGACATGTTGAAGGTTGACTTTTGGGCTGTTTGACACCACAGTTCATATTATAAATCCTAGACTCCCAGATTTAAAACCCTTTATAATGGTTAGGGTTGATATTCTACATGAATGTCTAATGGGCTTGAGAGAAGCACATTCTCATGAGACTAGGAAAGTGAGTTCAGTTTTTAAGATCCAAAGGAAGGGGAGAATGCATCATTCAATTAATGAAATTTAACTCAATTTCTCCCAAGGCAAGGCTGAACAATGGTCTCTAATGAATTACAAGAGAAACAAATAACATTTTACATTTCTTAAAATTTAACTTCCAATTTCAATGGATTGTTTTCCAAATAAAGTTTGATTCAAGCAGCCCATTTCTTTTGTGGTTAACTTTCATACAAAAGTTAAAAAGTACCTGCTTCAGAGACAATTCCATGTTCAAGATGATCGACGGGTGCTGAAAAAAGAAGTTAAATGTCAATAAAGATAATCATTAACAGGTTTTTATATTAAACAATATGTTGTTTTATCTGATGCCATATATCACTGAAGTAAACATCAAGTCTATTACATAAGGAAAAAAAGTTCTTATTGTTTGCTATTTTCTTCAAAATTTAGTGTTTGTACCTTAACAGAAATGATAAAAATCATTATTTATAGTATCCTGTTAAAGATAAGTGACCTAAATACATAAGAAAATAGTCTGCATTGAAAATTGTTCCCAGTTACTCACAAGTGTTCTTCTTCTAAATCTGCTTATCTTAACGGCTTCCATATAAGTCAAACTAGTGTTGACAAGAACATCTCTGTAATTATTTATTACCTCTTTCTGCTCTTACTTAGATCAGTGGTTCAAAAAGTTGTTTTAAGTAGCAGAGTTTTGAACAGTTATAGTGCTCCTTGTGGATGACCACATTCTTTACGGAACACTATACAATACTGGTGCAAATGATTTCACGATATGAACTAAGGCTAGTTTTATTTGTAGAAAATATGGCTTGATGCATGCAAGATAAAATCAGAAACATGAACAAAAAAGCTACCAAACGAAAAAGGACAAGATGATTTAAAAAATTTCCATCTACCTATCATCTTTCTGCTATTTTTCATTTAGCACCAGCTCATATTTACTAATTGACAAGGACTACCAGATGTTAAAGTTTAAAGAAATATGTTAAAGAAAAAATTTCAGTGAGAAAGTTCTATCAAATAGCATTTTTTTTGTTATCAATTTTAAAAACATGGCCAAACATCACATTATATACATAAAATATATTCAGTTTTTTGTTGTATCTCAATTATGCCACAATAAAACTGTTTTTAAAATGAGAAAAGAAAACAAAAGCTGGTCATTATGTAATTTTAACAGAAGAATCCAAGTAATTCTTCTTGACCACTGTCTAACACCATTGAATGAGACTTGTTCTAATGCAACTATGTGTGTTACAGGGACTGTATTTTTTGGCCTCTGGGTTCACACTTATATTTGACATCTGGCCTTCCCCTAGGAACCACCCAAGATTTTGTTTTGGTAGACACCAGATAGCAGGTCTTGTTCTTGTTAACTCCTTGACCACTATTATCATCACAATGTAAACAGGATCCTGTGGAACTCAGTATGTTAATTAACTTGAGCACCTCACAGAGGAGGGCTTTATTCTCTTTTAAAGCATTAGATATTGACATGGAAACAATCCGTTTTAATAAACAGTCTCAATAAAAATGTTCTAATAGACAAAGCATATTTTTTAAAAAGTTTCTCTAAGCAAAAAAGTATTTCAAATGTTATTATCAGCAAATAATTGTAAACTTAATTTTACTGAGGATTTACAAAACATGCCACAGTTGAGAGTTACTGTTAAAAGTCAAAGGCATTCATTCTCCAAATCTGGAGAACTATTCTTCTAGATCTACTAACTCTTTTTGGCGGGCGAGAGGAATTTAGCATACATGAAGACTTAGTATCATGCAACCTATATATTTTTTTTAATTTCCTTACAGAAAAGCAGGGACACATGATTTATACACTGGTCTAGTTTTCTCAAATTCAATTGGGGAAAAAATTGAAAAGTAAAATTTATAAAGTAGAAAAGCATCTGGATAGTAAAAGAGACCCCAGGCTTTCATTTAATGTGGCAATTTGTCTGACTATATGCTTAGAGAATGCAGTAATGAGAGGCAATCCCGGGAGCCCTGAATTCAGCGGTATGCTACAGAGGAAGGTGAGTCCCATTCCTAGTCGCCTATAAAACTTTTTCCACTGCTTCGGGAAAAGAAAACTAAGAAAGCTAATTTCAAAGGCTTCTCTGGGAAACGTGATGATGTATTAAAACAAGGGTGCCCTATAACAAGGGCTACTCAGTTTCAACATCTCTTCTCCTGGAACTCTGGACTAAGTCTTACCTTGAATATCTGCAACTCCTCCAGCACTACCTCTTCCATATTCCACTTTTCCTTTGAAATGCTGACAACTTTGAGGACAGTTCCAATGTCTGAAAAAAAAGCATAACGCATGATCCCATTGTTTCTATCTCAAAAATCAGTGGTAAGCATATTCCCAGAAACCTTCAAATTACTCCCCTCCTCTTTAAATGCCTTACAAAAAAGAGATTAAATGAAACATATATGAAGTTTAATGTATAAGTTTTGTCCTCCTAAAATATAGCTTTTAGCTAGTAGAACACCCATTTATAGAGAGATTATTAAAGGATACATATTCAGAGTATATTCTTAACAAAAGTAATATATATAATGCCTAATTTAAATATTGTTTGAAATGTTAACAAGGGTAGAGCAAATGTTTTGAACCTTAACTTAAAACGTTAACAATACATTAAAATAACAAGTTCTCTCTCTTCCTTCCATGTAATATATATTTATTTAATAGTTATTATATCCAGTTCATGGAAGACAGATATATATTCTTTTAATAACATTGCCAAATGAACAAAAAATTCATTGCAGCTATCTGAGGGAAATTGTAGCTCACTCTTCAAATGTATTCCATCTTCAGAATCATTATTAATAGATGAGAAATGGAAGATTTGTTTAAAATTATTTAACGTCAACTTAATACAAGGTTGATAATGCAAACCAAAAATTGACCTTTAAAAGAGGTATCTTAAATACATCATCTTACATTGAAATTCCATGAGGTGTAAGGTTAGTACAGAAAGAAAATTAAAAGAAGAGTTTAGAAAAAGAAAAAACAATCCCACTTCAATTTATACAATATAGGCATTTTTAAACTTCTGAGCACTGGGGTTGGAGTATAGTAACGTATATAGTAAAGATCCTGTTTGCACAAAATAGTCTGAATTATGTAATTGTTTTTAAATAACTCTGGGAATTTTAAAGAATTTTAAATGTACATTTTTCCAAATATCAAAATTAAAAGCCTATCTTAGCAGGTCTAGAATTTTCTCAGTAAAGGTTAGACAGTACCACCTAGTGGCTAACTGACGTTCATTGCAGTGAATTGCTGAAGACCTAGTTTTGGGTGGAGGGTGCAAATTAAGTGTCAAACTTGTGGGAATTAATAGCAACTAATTAATTCTACTTTTGACTCTTTAACTTCTATCTCTGTTGTCTTGGGAATATCCCTTATTTTTCTGGTTTGTGGAATTGCCATCTGGAAAATAATCAGGTTTGACAATCGATGACAAAAGTCCTGTGAGTCCGTCACACACATACTTCCTAATAAACCTAACTTCTATAAGACCCATTTTTTTTAAAATAAAATTATTCTAAAATTGTTTTGAACTCTTAAATACCTATTCTAATAAAAAGTTTTGTTTCTTGAAAATTCTTAATTTTTAATCTTTATGAAATGCTTGATCCATTAAGTTATATAACATGATATGGAATACAGTGCTTTTGTTTTAATGATACATGTTATTTTTACTGCCATTAGACTTTCCATGACATTATTAGTTAATACTTTTACCTTTTTTGAGATTAAATTTTTCTTTTTATAAAAACATTTTAATCATTTCATAGTTATTGAGTTGACATGCAAAGGAAAATACAATGGGCTTAAAAACCAAGGAAATACATTTTAATGCACAAAATTCAAGAAGAAAGATAATCTCCAAGAACTTTCTATTTAAAGACCTTCACAAAGTAATGCTTAATGTTTTCGAAAATCTATCTTAAGTCAACTAAGTTAGTGATTCTCAAAATCAGGTGAAGGAATCTTTTGGGCGTATACTTGTGAAGAGAGGGAAAGGCAAAGTTTGAAAATGAAAATTGCTTTGCCCTACCTGTTTAATTTTAGTTCAAAATCATTCAACAAATATGTACTAAGCATGTAAGGTAGAGCAGGCACATTGCTGTCAAATACATTTTGAAATCTCAAATATGAAGTTCGGAGATATTTATGATTATCAATTAAAAGCTACATAATTTTAAGAAATGTTGACAAAGTTTTGTCTAATAATTACTCATTTTGATTTTGAACAATAAATATTTTTGAAGTTTTTCTTCTCTTTGTCTAATAATGAAAAATTCTTTTTGAAAAAATCCTAATCCAGTTTTAGCTTACCTGTCCCAAGAAACATTACATCGTACTGGCCATCTTCTGCAGTGACATGATCCACCACTATCTGTGTCAGTCTGTAATCTACATTGATTCTCTTGAATGTTGGTCCTCCTGCAACTGGGTATATGGACTTATACATCACAGAGTGCCGCTTTATGAAACTGATGACATCATCTGGAAAATCTCGGGTGGATTTAATCAGTGGGTCATAGGTTTTGCTTGGACACTGAAAATAAATGTGGAGGAAAGTAAAGACATTGTTTATGCACCTGAGAAGTTCACACTTATTTCCAACAAAGCTTGTATAGCTTATCATCAATAGTATTAAATGAATGGACAACAGAGTCAATATGGAATCATGTGTACTTGTAAATAAATGCAGTGTGCCTCCAATAAATGTAAACTCAGTTTTCTCCTTCAAAAATTTTCTAAATTATATCTGCATTTTTAAACGTTTCCATAGTGAATTATTTTCTTATGAAGATTATTTCTTCTGAAGATTGTTTCTAATGAAGATATTTGAAATCTAACTTGAAATAACTGTTAAGAAACTGATCTATAAACATGAGAACATGTGGAAAGCCATTATTTTCAATTTCCTTTGAGTAATTTATAATTTCGGTTCAAATGAAACCATGTTTAATTAAAAAATAAAAAAGGAACAAATAAACAGTTCACAAAAATTAATTTCAAAGTATTTAATAGCTTGAAATTGTAATTATGTAGTTTCTTTTATAATTGGTGTGAAAATTACACTTCGAACAATTCAACAGCTCTTCTCCTAAAGAGTCTGCGAAGAAACCCTTACGGAATTTTATACTTCTGTCTAAAATTGACTTATGCGCCTTTCAGCATCCACTAAATCAATAGTTAGCATGACCTGCCCCCTGGTGGTAAGAGTAAAAAGTTCAAAATGGTCCAAATCAAATGAATTTTATGTGCCTTTATCCAAAAATAAAGGGGAAAAAACACTTTATGATTAGACTTTTTTTTTCCAGAAAATATCACCTCTCCCACATCCTAAGTCTATTTTATGTTTAAACATATTGCAATTTAGAAAGGTACCTCATATAGAACGGTTCTGTTATAATATTTGAATTCCTAATGGACTAATGCATTCTTTTGGAGTGGAAAACTTTAGTCAATTAATGCAGTCATGGAGAATAAAATGATTGACAGTAAGGAAAGTTGTTTTTTTTTTTTTTTTTTTAAATGGTGCCTTTCCTTTATTTCAGTTTTTAGAGAAATTGGAAACAGTCTCCATGGAACTGAACCATTTATACTTGGCACTAATCAGAATCATGCCAAGGCTCCAAAAACATAATGTATTCATATCAAATATTCAAGAGTGTCATTCTTATGGAGCTGAAGATACTAGAACTAGTTCCAATATTTGACTTTGACCCCAAATTTTATACCAATAAAATAATAGTGACTCATTATGAATTAAAAGAAATATCAAAGAGGTTTTACTAAAAGTCTGTTAATGTTTTCCTATAAATACCTTAAGAATATCTTTAACAAAAATTTTCAATGTCTGGTATTAAGAAACTGATACTTTCTTGGTATTTACTTATTTGTCCCAGGTCTGCATCAGAGAGATTAGAAATGTTCTAGAATATTAGCCACTTTGCATTTACTTAACACACTCTTAACTGGATGTCGTTCTAAAGATCTAAGTCTGCAGGTTCAATCATTATTTCCAGCACTTAACCTTCAGCCAAGCGGAATCCATCAACTCGATAATGGAAGAACCCTGCATTAAGCAGATTAAGCAGGGACTCAAAATGGATATGGAGCTCAAATGATACAAAGCTCTTGTCCAATTATAGGCTGCATGTTTGAGGCTCAGTCAAAGACGATTCATAGCAGGCTTATAATGCCTGCGGTTCAATCTGGTTGGTGTATCATTAGAATCAAAGCCAGAGCAAGATTTTGCCTGCACACATTTTTTAAAAAGCCCTCCAACTTAAGAAAAAATCACTTTTGACTTTGCGGCTGTAGTTGTGAAGTAGCCAAAGTTTTCAAAGAAATAATATCATGACATTCAAGCCATAGTTTTTGATATCAAATTGTTAAATAATTAGAAATTTTAATGTGAGAAAGTATAGCTGAATGAAAATATAAACATTTAGGAAAAAATAAATATTAATTTTCCTCATTGCTCTGACAAAAAAGGTTTAAGTGTAATAAAATCTAAGGGGAAAAAAAGGGAAGGAAAACCTGGTTTCTATTGACTATAAAATGATCTTTGAAAATATGTATTTTTTCTTATGGCAGCTTTTCCTCATGGCATGTTGCCAGTGTTTGGATAAGATCTTTATCCTCTCAATTGCTATGCGTGATATCTCAGGTCTGCGTCTCCACTATGCTTGCACAAACGAAAATGATTTGGTAGAGTTACTCTCTGAGGTTTAGGATAGTACAGTTTGAATTAAATATTGTTATTTTAGTACATTCAAACCCGGGAAATTTTTGCTTTGATATCATATAGCTGTGCCGCACACAGATCTAAAAATAACGAGATGCCAAGCAATGTATGTAGGTAAGAGTAAAGTAGGAAAGAAAAATTCCATAAAGGAAAAGAGACAGTGTAGGGAAATGCATCTAAAGCAGATGGTCATTCATATTCAGTTATTTTCCTTTAACAAATTCTAGAAAATTCTCCTATGGCAGCTATACATCTCAGGTATTAGAAATCTAGTGGGTTTTTCTCTGTATGTACGTACTTTTAATTTCTCGGTACTAACACAGCCCACCTGAACATACCATGGGCGGCCATTTATTTCTGCCTTCAGTTTTCTTACATTTGCCAGTTTAGCTACTAGGAGTGTAGGAAATAAATCAGGAAATGTATCTGTGTCTCTACCCACTGTTGTAAAATACTCAAAGACAGTATTCTTCTCTTGTGCTGGAAATTTTAATACCAGAGCAAAAGAAGAAGAGAAAATAGAACATGCCTAGACATACCCTGAGATGAAAGGGAAAACCCGACAGCAACAAGCCCTGGTTCAGGGCCTATCTCCCATGGCTGGCTGCCACAGCTGGCTAGGTGTGATCATGTTATGCTTGGCAAGTCCGTGTGTTTGTCTAGGGCCTTTAGTAGTGGAGTGGGAAGCAATGGATAAGAGGAGAAAAATGGATTTTATCCAATGAGAGAACTTTTCCCCTTGGCAAGACCCCAGAGAGCTGCCAAAGGATTTTTCTCCCTGCAGCTTCAGGCTATTCTCTACAGGTTGCAGTTTCCTTTTAAACAAATCAGAGGAATGACTAACATGAGGGAAGACATAGCAAAGGAAAGACAGAACTAGGCTTTCGTTTTCAGAAGCTTGAGTTTTATTTATAGAGTAAAAATGCAAATGTAACAGTTGCCATCTTATCCCCCTGCTTATTCATCGAAGAGTCAATCTACAACAGATAAGGGCAAGGAAAGATCCTATATTAAACATCAGAGACAAAGAGGCCTGGGGCAAACATATAGAGGTAAATTTCTGTCCTTCCCTCTCCATCTCTTTCTCTTTAAGGTTCCCTTTCTCTTAGAGGAATTTCTATGCCAGAAAAAGCAAAACACTATTGAACACAGTAAATAGCCTGGGATTTGAAGAACTTAATTTTAAAAGCAAATTACTTGCCCTCTGGAAAATAAAGCTGAAGCCAGTTGGAAAGGTCAATTCCTGTTGGAAGCCTCTTGACTATCTCCGTTTTAGGGAAAAATGGCCTACACACAGTTAAAGGGAAATGACAGTGATATATGATACATCTCCTTTAGTGTCATCTGTTTTAGGAATCTGGACTCAGAATGTCCACAGTCTAGTCCTGCCTCTGCTGCTCCCTTCTAGAACCAAAACCAGGACTGAATGAACAGAACTGGAGATATCCTCAGTAATTTAGAGAGATGATAAAGTAATTGTTATCCAATAAGTGGAAGGTAATGGAGTGAACAAATATTAAAGAGAAAATAAAACTGTGAATGCATTATGCTAGAGAGACATGAGTGAGCTACTGATGCCTAAAATGAGATATCCCCAAAAGTTTTCTGCAGACTTTGAATTAATTAGGAAAGACTTGCTTAAATGAAACAAACAATAACAATAAGATGTTAGCTACATTTCTCAGGCACACAAATGGGAAGATAGTGTGAGACACTATGAGAGAATTCTTGCATCATACTTTGTAGTTTTCAGTGTCCTTTGGAAAGACTACTATAGTCCAACACTAGACAAATTAATAGAAAGTTCTGGATATTATTTTGAATTACATTTTTTTTTGTTTTGGTAAGTTACACTTATCTTTGAAAGTCAACTGTAAAACATGTCTTTTAAAACTCTTACTTAACAGGATCAGCAAAGTTTACAATTAAAATCTAATGTATGAAGTTAAGAAATACATATACTCTGAGAAACATCAGCTCTTTAGGAAAAGAATGTATTTAGAATCATGCTGAAGCTTAAGTAAAATAGTTTAGGTGGAGCAGGAAGAGAAAACAGGGCAGCTAAAGAGTTTTGACTTGTGGAATCCATGGTTACCTCAAACCCTTGCTGTTGAGAAGATCAACCAAGGTAAAAGTTGGAATTTCTAAGCAATATTCCAGTTCTAGTTGAAGAACACATTATGTACTTCAAGTCCACTATGAAATCCCAATTGTTGATATTATGTGTTATTATCCTATGATCCATCTTCTCCAAGGTTTGCTTTTGTAAAGCAAAATCAGAAACCAAGCTCAGGCATGGCAGTGATGCCTTGATATGTTAGAGTGAAAAAGACCTTTCTACAACAGAAGGGTATGCCAGGACCCAGAGATGGTTCATGGTAGTGCATTTGTAAGATGAATTTTTCAGTGGATCCAGAATCAAAAGAACTTCATAATTTCTCAATGACTCTTACAATGTTTGAAAATCTAATGATTTGATGGGAAATAAATGACTGTCAGACATATCTAAACCTATATCTCAAGTTTGAAGGTTTTATCATATAGCAAAAAAGAGGAACAATAAAGTCCTACAGCAAAAGAGGAAAGTTTTAGCATTTATATTTTATTTTCTCTAGTGAAAACCAACGTGAGTTGTACATGATGGGGCCTTTTTTTAAGACAAAGATTTGAAATCTTGCAGAAGGGGACACATTTCATTATTTTACATTGGTGGTAGTTGAAAATATATATATTTTTTTCTTAATAAAGTTTTACAGAATATTCTTAGTCAAATTTTGTTAATCAAGATTTATAGG